GGGACGGGCAAGGATACGGCGCCACCAATCCGGCACAGAGAGTCCCAAGCATCTTAAACCAGGCCTGTCGAGAAACCACAGCGTCGCCGGTACGTTATCTTAAGCGCCTTCCTGCCCATGGCTGTACCGAGAATCTGCAGAAGCTAACACAATCCCGACCAAGGAAGCATTAGAAGTCTACATCACAGCCGTAATCCGTCTCTCGGTCAACGTCTCTACAATTCCATCGAACATCTCGATCCAATGAGCGAGTCGAAGCGATCAATACAGCCTGATGAGCGTGTGTGGTATGACCAGTTCACGTCTACTGACTGGGTCCATGACAACATCGTCGACGCTCATCGGGTGAAGGCACTGAGGATGCGCAAAGACCTCCGGGGGAGGATAAATGCCGTCTTTGATGCCTCTCAAGGTTGGATCCTGAGTGCTGTGTGCGGGTTCGTCGTTGCCCTCGTCGCATACGTCGTGAACTTGTCCGAAGCCACCGTTTTCGACTACAAGTATGGCTACTGTGCACGCGGGTGGCTTATTAGCGAAAAGGTACGATATCTTGCGCAAGATATTGAGTCTTGCTAACTGGTTCTAGAATTGTTGTCCTAAGCAAGGTACCTGTGCAGATTGGCGGACTTGGTCCGAGGTCTTGCGATTCTGGCCCTTTGGCGATGTCGGGACCGAGTTTACCATTTCCATGACGGGATGTGTAGTCTTTTCCTGTCTCGCCTGTGCCATGACCTTGACAACCAAGACCGTGGTACCCTCGGCTTATCGAATGACAACCTTTGATGAAAATCTCGCGGCGGAAATTGCACCCTACACGGATGAACCTAGAGGTGACGAGACCTCGGCCCCCCCAGAGGTCTTTGAAGCGATTGAAGCCGCCGTGCCACCTCCGATGGTTTACTACTCTGCTGCTGGAAGCGGTGTCGCTGAAGTTCGTGTCATCCTCAGCGGTTTCGTTTTGCACGGCTTCCTGGGTGTAAAGACGCTGGTTGTCAAATCGGCTGCACTCATTCTGAGTGTGGCGTCTGGCCTCAGTCTCGGGAAGGAGGGACCTTACGTCCACATCGCCACCTGTATCGGCAATATCGCCTGTCGACTTTTCGAGAAGTACGACAAGAATGACGCCAAAAGGCGTGAAGTATTGTCAGCCGCTGCCGCTGCGGGAGTGGCCGTCGCCTTTGGTGCTCCATTGGGGGGCGTTCTCTTCGGCCTCGAAGAGGTCTCGTACTTCTTTCCTGCAAAGACGCTCTTCCGCACTTTTTTCTGCTGCATCGTAGCTGCGTTGTCTCTCAAGTTTCTCAACCCCTACGGCACGCACAAAATCGTCATGTTCCAGGTCAAATATGTAGCCGACTGGCACTACTTCGAGCTTGTATTCTACATTGTACTTGGAGTGTTGGGCGGTGCTGCGGGTGCGCTGTTCATCAAAGCATCTAAGCACTGGGCCAAATCGTTCCGGAAGATTGGCGTCATCAAGAAATACCCAATGATGGAGGTCATGCTGGTTGCTATCGCCACCTCCGTGATGGGTTACTGGAACGTACACACCAAACAGCCCGTGGCGAAACTGATGCTCAACCTCGCGGCCCCTTGTGACAACGACTCCGACCGCGAGGACTACGGCCTGTGCCCAACCGCTACGGACGACATTCCGCCTGTTCTCCTCAGCCTCTTCACTGCCTTTCTCATCAAAGGATTCTTGACCATCATCACGTTTGGAATCGTAAGTAATTCGGCCCTGTCGACTTATGAGACTCTAACCTGGCCATAGAAAGTTCCAGCGGGTATCTACGTCCCATCCATGGTGGTTGGTGGCCTCATGGGCAGACTGGTTGGCCATTTCGTCCAGTACACGGTCCTTTTGTATCCGGGATTCGGGTTGTGGGGTGCTTGTGCGTCGAAAGAGGCCGGATCATGCATCCAACCTGGCGTGTATGGTCTTATTGCCGCCGGTTCAACGATGTGCGGCGTGACTCGACTCTCAGTAACCCTTGCTGTTATTCTGTTTGAGCTCACCGGCAGTCTGGACTACGTACTGCCCTTCTCCCTAGCAATTCTGGTGGCAAAGTGGACTGCAGACGCCATTGAACCAAACAGCATCTATGTAAGTGGAAGATGCTTGTCACTCTTGGGGAACGGCACTAATTTCTTACCAGGATCTGTTGACGAACATGAATTCGTACCCGTTCCTCGACAACAAGCACAAGCCCATCTTCACCTCAGACCTGGCCGACATTGTTCCTCGTGTCCGCCGAGAAAGGATCATCGACATCAGCGCCTCTCCTGCAATATCTGCAACCAGCCTTCGCGAGAAGCTCGAGACGCTACACAGAGCGGGAGAGATTGACGGAGGCCTGCCCATTATCCGAGACGGTATCCTCGTCGGCATGATCCCGGCCCCCGATCTAGAATACGCTTTAGACAACCTGGACGATGAAGCCTCGAGCATGTGTCTGATGGCTCCTGTCACAACCATCGAAGACTCCGATGATGAGTCGGAGGTAGACAAGACTGATTTCACCCCGTATATCGATCCGGTAAGTAGCAACGATAGGAATGGTAAGAGGTCACGGCTAATGACATGCAAACAGGCTCCTGTGGCACTGGACATCAGGTCGCCCATGGACCTCGTATATGAGTGCTTTGTCAAGCTCGGTCTGCGCTTTGTGTGCGTCCTGAAAAACGGACGATACGCCGGAATGGTATGTTTGACGAACCAACCTTGGAAAGAAGAGGAGACTGACAGTATGCAGGTGCACAAGAAGAGCTTCGTGAAGTACATGCGGGAGCTCGAGGAGAAGCAAGGTCACTGATTTTCGACCAATATCTTAGGGGGGTGGCTGCTTTGATTGAGCCTTGGCGTAGTTGGAATACTCTTCGCGTTCGATATTCGACATCATGTTAGCATTTTCGTCCCGGGCAAGACTGCTAGAGCAGCAGGAGAGATTGCCTATTTTCCATTTCTTGTTCGATTGCGTCCGCTTCCATTATTTGCGGTTCGGCATACATGGTTATGGCGTTCGTTCGGTTGGCATACCGGGGCGGATGATTCATTGACGCAATTTGCATAGCATTGTAGCTTTGTTTTCTCTTGGATTTCCTTTCGCGGCTGGATCACTGTAGGATACGTAGGGCAGGCCATGTTGTCTTCGCATCTAAGCCGTTTATGTAGCCAGAATGGTACGGCGTTACAGTTAGTACGAAAGCACAACGGCGAGTCGAATACCATGAACCGCAAGGGTGGAAATATGAAATCATTGTGCTCTGTCGTTCTGATGGATGCATCGCGAACTACTGTTTGTTGTGCTTGTGTATCGAAGCAGTTTGCTCGCCGTCGATGCATCACGATGTACGGGTTGCCTTGATTGGTGTTTCTTGCAAAGTCAGCATACCTACTAAAGGCCTGTTCCAACGTGCTGGAAGAAGAGAGCCACGGATTGACTGGCCAAGAGCTCGCGCGGGAAGTCGGTTCAAAGGCGAGTAAGGAGAACAGGAGAAAACAGCAAATGGTCGCGCGTCGGAATCTATCTCGTGAACCCCACTGTCCACTTATAGGTTCCCATGGGGGTGGACGTTGGTGACGGAGCAAGTCTGTAGACCAAAAAGCAGTAGTGTACGACCGGCATCGTTTCCCGGTCCCGGTCTCCGGTCCGTCATCGGCCTTTCAGGGTTCACTAATGATAACACCAATTGGATACTTTGCAGGGCTAGTCCCCGCGGTCGGTGGGGTTTCCCACGAAAGGATATCTCTCCTTATCATTGGAGTCACGCAAGAGACAACTTATCGCTGATGGGGGCGGCTACTGACCGTCTGCATCGTGCCACCGAGGGGTTTCCCGGATCCGATCTGAGATTGCGGTGAGGATTGGGCTCATGGGTCTCGACGACAGGTACATACAGGACTCGGAAGCCGGCACGCCATCCGTACACGACATTTATGTCCGAGCTCTGATAAAGGTGAGGCGTGTTGGGTGACAGGCTGCTCCACCAACAATGGAAGCTGTATCTGTACGTCTGCAAAGGTGAGCCAGTGTCCAGCGGATTCTCAGACACAAGATAGCTTTTCCCGCCCATTTTATTGATTCTCAATCGATCCTCTTTCCAATTGACGCCGTTCATATGCGCTGCGACGACCAGCAATGGACAAGAACAATGCCCTAGGTAAAGGGCGAGGCGGTGGCGGCGTAAACGGCGTAAACCATGACCTCACCTCTAGAACAGCGCGCTGGTGTCCGAGCAGCATGTCGACTGTGTCACTCACTAGTTTTTTGTGTGTGTGAGGTCGGGTCCCCCGGCTTCCCTTGCGGGTCCCCGCATTTTCACACAATTCTGGCACGTAATCTTGGCACGCCTCCCTGTCCATCATTGGAGGGGCAGGAGGGGCAGACCAGACGTAAACTGCTACTACGTACATTAGTCCCGTCTTGAGCAGGTACGGACCCAAGACTTGCTGCACACTGCGGCGCGCACGCCGGCCGGTCTGATCGTTGGGATGTACCGTCGGCTTGACTCAACGCCAGACCGGGGGAGGGGGAGGACCAAAGCTCAAACCAGGTACTAAGCGTGTGCAATGCACGCTACGGTGTGTACTTGAAGCAATGCATTTGGCTAGCTATCGCGCCTCCACCGGGCAACGACATGGTGACGAGGAGATAGATAAGCCGTGGCCACCCGCCATCTATAAACTTGCCCCTCCCCCACGTAGCGACACATACCACGAAACGCCCTTCTTCTCTACATTCCTCCTCTCACTTCTTTTCCTGCAATTGACCGACTGATACCCCCTCTCCTGCTGGTCTATCTTGTACCCTCCGATATCGCACCGCTACTACTGTATCCAGCCCACGATACCCCACCGAGCGAGCGAGCGAGAGAGAGAGAGAGAGAGAGAGACAGTGTGTGAGTGTGAAGGACATCTGTGTTGCCGGGAGCTTGCCTAGCTGAGAGGAGAGCGAGTGGGAGAAAGAGACGCACGTACACACAACCCCACAGAAGCAACAATGGTCTTCACCAGAGCCTCCGCCGCAATGGCGCGCCCTGCCGTCCGGGCGGCCAGGTCTTCGGCCGTCGCCTTCCCGCGCCGGTCGCTCTGCGCCTCCGCTCCGCGCATGGCCGCCGCGAGCCTCTTCCCCGGCGAGCCCTCCGGCCCGTCGGTCAAGACCGAAATCCCGGGTCCGGCCTCCAAGAAGCACACTGAGGACCTGCACAAGGTGTTCGATACGCGGAGCTTGAACATGCTCACGGACTACAAGAAGAGCAAGGGCAACTACATTGTCGACGCCGATGGTAACGTCCTGCTTGACGTGTGAGTGAAGATCCAAAAAGCCGCCTCCCTCCCTCCCTTCCTCTCACAAAAGCACGATGAGGAGAGACACTGACACCCAGACCGCACCTCCAAACAGTTACGCCCAGATCGCCTCCATCCCCCTGGGATACAACAACCCCGTCCTGGCCAAGGTGGCCCAGACCCCCGAGATGGTTAACGCCATAATCAACCGGCCGGCGCTCGGCAACTTCCCGCCCGAGGACTGGGCCGAGACCCTCCGCTCCGGTATCCTCAAGGTGGCGCCCAAGGGGCTCGACCAGGTCTTCACGGCCATGGCCGGCTCTGACGCCAACGAGACAGCCTACAAGGCCGCCTTCATGTGGCGCCGCCAGCAGGAGCGCGGCGGCTACGACGTCGACTTCACCCCCGAGGAGACGTCGTCCGCCATGGACAACAAGTCCCCCGGCGCGTCCGACCTGTCCATCCTCTCCTTCCGCACCGGCTTCCACGGCCGCCTCTTCGGTTCCCTGTCCACCACCCGCTCCAAGCCCATCCACAAGCTCGACATCCCCGCCTTCGACTGGCCCCAGGCCACCTTCCCCCTCCTCAAGTACCCTCTCGAGGAGCACGCCGAGGAGAACGCCGCCGCCGAGCAGGCTGCCCTCGACGAGGTCGAGCACCTCATCAAGACCTACCACGTGCCCCCCGCCGCCGTCATCGTCGAGCCCATCCAGTCCGAAGGCGGCGACAACCACGCCTCTCCCGCCTTCTTCCGCGGCCTCCGCGAGGTCACCAAGCGCCACAACGTCCTCCTCATCGTCGACGAGGTCCAGACCGGCGTCGGCGCCACCGGCCGCTTCTGGGCCCACGACCACTGGGACCTCCCCACGCCCCCCGACATGGTCACCTTCTCCAAGAAGGCCCAGACCGCCGGCTACTACTTTGGCAACCCCGAGCTCCGCCCTAACAAGCCCTACCGCCAGTTCAACACCTGGATGGGCGACCCGGCCCGCGCCATCCTCTTCCGTGCCATCATCGACGAGGTCGACCGCCTCGGCCTCGTCGAGCACACGGCCCGCGTCGGCGACTACCTCTTCTCCAAGCTCGAGGGCCTCGCCGCCAAGTACCCCGGCCAGTTCGACAACCTGCGCGGCAAGGGCCAGGGCACCTTCATCGCCTTCGACAACCCGCGCCGCGACGAGTTCCTCAAGCGCGCCAAGGGCCTCGGCATCAACATCGGCGGCTCCGGCGAGCGCGCCGTCCGCCTTCGGCCCATGCTCATCTTCCAGGAGCACCACGCCGACATTCTGATCGAGGCCCTCGAGAAGATTGCCAAGTCGTGGTAGGTAGAGAGCTGGTGCGGGGAGTTGAAATAAAATAAGAATTGAAGAAGAAAAGGAAAACCCAGAGCCATTCAGGCTTGGGTCTCTTTGTTTCGTTTTCGTCTTGTTTCTGCTGCATCGGTTTTTTTTTCCCGACTTTTCGAAGCATCATTTACGAAGGGGGTTCGCTGTCTGGTTCATGGTCTAGCGTATAGGACTGGTCTCCAAAATCAAAAGGGACAAAGAACGGACTGCGTTCAAAAAATAAAAAATATCATATAATCCCGAATGGTTTCTGCTGCACAAACTAGAGGTGTACGCGAGTTGCAATCTTTCCATTGACATGACAGTCGCCTAAGCGTATTCGTGGTTCTGGTATCGTTGAGTGTATTTGGTATGTCATATAGCCCGACCTACGTACATCTATAGTACGTCTTTGGACGGGCAAAAACAGATTCTAGCCATCCTTAACTTGAACTATGCCCGCTCGATCAAAATTGGTAGGCTTACAGCGCCACGGAATCTAGTATACACTTGCTCGTAGCAGGCATGCGTCGTTTGTTGTACACAGGGAGGTCTGGTCACCCATGTCTTAGGCTCGTTAAGCCACACACGCTCGTGCATTTAACACACACACCCCCCCCGGGTGCGGAGCGGTATATGGTTTTATAGGTGGTAGTTGTAGATAGTTTCTTACCACCTCGTAGCCGGCTCTGTCTTCTATCTCGCCAGCCCCTCCCGTTGTAGATGACTGATGTGTGGGATAGCCTTTTGCTTTTGTGCATCAGGTAGCTGTTCGCCCTCGTTGTAGGGGTCGCGAGGTACCTCGTCAGACGGTCGGCGTGAGGCTTGGCTGGGCGTCGATCCCGCCGAATGCGACTTGGGTTGTTCTTCTGTCAAAAAAGTACTCTAAGCAGCGGTCAGATAGATGTCGAGGTGGTGGGGTGAACACAGACACCTACTGATTGTATTTTTTCGGATAACCTTGGACGGCCGCGCTTCCGCCTTGCTGGCTCATTCTGTCCTTCCGTCGCTGGGCCGGGTGACAGGCTATAAGCGGGGCTTTCTGCCGGCGTCGTCGGGCTTTCTGCCACCAGAGACCGAGGTGCCGGTGCTGGTGCGAGGGGAGTCAGGTGTTGTGGCAGCAAGGGCCGAAGCTGCCTGGCCTTATCTGCTCGCGATGGCCGGCCTCTTTTACGAGGCGGGAGCGATGCTGCCTGTTTCTGGCTAGAACTCGATGATCCGCTGGGACACCCGGTGCTCTCCATGCCGGTGGGCCGTGGTTGTATATTGGCAAGCTGTGGATTATGTGGCTGCGAAGGCGTCGCCAAAACGGAAGGCACAGACATCGACGGATACGGCGCCAAATTTTGCGTGGCAGAGGCCAAAGAGGGCAACTGTGCTGGCGGTTCCATCGTGGGAGCTGCAGCTAAGCGTTTTGAAGGCTGTTGGAGGAGATCGGCCATGGATTTGCGCTTCAGGTCTGGTATCCTTATGGGCCCCTGGAGTATTTGCCCCGTGACGGCCAAGCACTGTTCCATGGTGCGGCCTGACCCTCCAGTGTTAGTATACTAGGGCACCGGGTGGAGGGAATGCTGGAAGCGCAACATACCACTAGGTAACTGCATCTTAAGCCAATCCGGTTCGACATTGTGTGTTTTGAGAAACCCTGCTAGAAGGCCAACATCCAGGTTGCTGGTCTTGATGGCTTCGGCAAGGATGAATCTCTGCGATGGAGCTGCGCATCAGCATGGAAACTTCACAAGCAATTGATGATGGCTGACCTTTTCCTCCTCAGTGAAAGAGTAAGCCATCGTGAGAAGAAGGAGGGCTGAAAGCTATGTGAAGAAGTGTCATGGAGTATTGAAGAGAAACGTGTTTATCCAAAGAGGCAGCAAGGTAGGCATTTGCGATGGAGCTTAGGCAAACGAGTGTCTCGGCGCTGTCAGAAGGTTAACGAGCGGCAGATGTGCCGTTGGAATGGAAGTGAGCCTCGAAGGTACGGTTAAGAGAGCGAGCGAGAGATATTGACGGAGCCGGCGCCGTCAACCGAACAAGCCGTGCAATGCAGTTGAGCTTTCACTCTACCAGGCAGACAAACGCGACGGGAGCAGGCAATGAATGCTCGTCGCAAAGACCGATAACAACAGCACCCAGGAAGTTTCGGTTTGCTACGCCACGAAAAGAACGTCGATGAATGTGCCTTTAAGGCTAACAACTAGTTACGGCGCAGGTGCGTCTAGAGAAGAAAGGCAATCAGGCCGGCGCAAGCGCGCGTTCTTGACTTGAAGTCACCGTAAGCGAGACGTCGTGCCACGACGCCGTCGAGGAGAAGTTGAACAAGGGGCGAGGAGGGGGGTAACACAGCCTAGACAGGCTGTGTAGGAGGAGGTGGTGGAGGCTTCGATTGTTTCGTTTGCTTCTGGGGACATGGACCACTTCGCGACTGACCGCGGGAGGCCCTGCACGGCGCGCACTCGGGGACTTGCTGGCGTGACTGGGGTCGGGGGTGGCAGGCTAGAGGCGTGTTTTGCGCGTGAGTGATAGAGAGACACACCCGGGGGGGGGGACCAAGCAGGTTTGCCGAGTCTTTAATTTCGCGTTAGACCTGTCTAGGAGAGCCTTTCCAGGGTAGTGGTTCAGTCAAGATTTGGGACGGGTGTCCTTGTACGATTACTCGCAGCAAGTACGGAAAGTCGTATGGCTTTTCGAATGTGTCCTGTTTGATTAGAGGCAGGCGACAGGGAAGGCGAATATGGGTTGTCCTAAAATCCGTAGATACGGGAGAGAGGGAGGCGATTCTATCAGTCGAGATTGCCAGTCGGCCTCCCTTGGCGCTAGTTCGAGTTGTGCTGGGCGAAACTTATGAAGGATGTGTATACTGGATAAATAAGTCACAACCCCAACAGCGCCGTTGAACTTATTGGAGTGCTCTGGTTAATGTAGAGTCGCAGCGCCCGAGCGATGGTGGTGGCTGGGAATTGCACGCAGATGGAAAGACCGACAGCGATGACTGACAGTGACGGCGTGCGCGTTGCGGCTCATCAGGGCAGGATATGAAATGGGCAACGACGAGATCGGGAAAACAGGAGGCTGTCTGCGCAGCGAAGTTGAGGGGCGAGATAGATCGGCAAGACCGAATAGGAGCCTGAGCCGTAGCAAGCCTCTCGGGAAGGATGCCAAAAGTCGCCTTCGTCGTCGGCAGGCCTGGCTCTGTGCTCGCTCGCTAACAAACTGATGATGGCACTACGGCACTGCCAATCCGGGCATAAGTCGATGTAAGGCAAGGCAGGGAAGAAGAGGTAGGGACTGTCGGTGTTGGTGGGATGGGATGGGATGGGATGGGTTGGTGGGTGGGATGGAAGGATGCTGTCATAACCTGCTATGCACATCCGAGCCCAGCGATGGGTCAACTACACAACAACAAAATGACGAACATGTGGTGTGGGAGCGACGGAGAAGAGAGTGTACGGTCGGCGCCGTAGTGGTTATCGGTGTCGGCCGTGGCTTTGGGCGTCCATGTCAGAATGCCGCGTCGTTTTTCGAAGCCGCCGCTTTCGCTAGTGCCGTTGCTGGTTGTTGAAGTCCGAGGTTTCTTGCATATTTCTCTCGCCTCGCTCCTCACCCAAGTACGAATAATCTGTGCCCTCTTTGCGGCAAGCGCTCTCCCTCCTTCTCTCGTCTAACCCGGCAGTGGCATTGTCTCACGCGCCTCCCGCGTCTCTTATTCCGTCGTCGGTTTCTTGCTTTTTTTCTCGGCAACCAACCGCATCTCCTGTCCATTTGCAATGCTTATGTCTCACCAGTCCCCAAAAGGGGACGAGAAACCTTTTGGTTGGCTGACGTCCACACCCCGGGCCTCTTCCGTTCGCATCCGAGGTCGAAGATAGGGCCCCGACTCTCGTAACTGTTTTCCTGTTTGACCCTCACTGGAGGTGGCCAACCATCATATCACATATGACTGCATACGCGGGCTGCGTCTCTCTGACTCTGCAATCAATATGTAATCGACAGAGGGGATATCCCTGTCTCCCGCCCGTCCTGCACACACGCTTCTGTGCAGCACGGTCCCTCCGCCACGCTGCCAGTGGCTCCGGAACTGGGCTGAGAAGAGCCATACGCAGCCCGTTTGCGCCGAGTGTAGCGTGCAGCAAATGCAGATGCAGATGCAGTGCTATCCCCCAAGGCAAAGGGTTGCGTCCTGTGGCCAATCCGATGGATCGACATGTTCCGCCTGACTAGTCTTGCCGCCATTCGCAGGATGTCATTGTCGTGGAGCTTGCCGAAAGCATGATGTTCCCTCCCTACCCTTAGACAATGAGAGACGCAATATTATGAATGAGAGAATACCGCTAGGAAATGTCAGCACTAGCCAACAATTATTGTCATGGAGGAATGATTGCAAGGAAGCTCTGGTGGAAACCGAGCGAAAGATGGGCTGGGCTGTGTAGCAACACACACAAGCGCGCGCTCTCTCTCTGTCTCTCTCTCTGCACTCCCCCCCGCTTGCACTTGCATTCGCGCAGTCTGGAAAGTCCAGCCAGCAAACACTTGATTGTCTGAGCTCTTTTGGTGGTGGAGGAGTAGGAGGTGGTGGTGGTGGTGCTTGCTCGTGTTGCCTCCCCCACCAACTTTGGCTGATGCTCCGTCAGCAGGGGTACACCTGTTTCCCACCTCCTTGCGTTTCCCTCCCTCCTGCTGAGTCGGCCGCCGTCCTATTCTATGGTTCAAAACGCGCCTGTTGCGACAGTTTTGGACGCTATTTCAGACAACGACAAAAACAGAAAAGAAAAATGATCGACGTACGACCGAATAAGAATATAAGGGCATTTAAGGGCCCGCGACGAAATCGCGGCCTGTAGTCTTCATTGGCTGCGGCCCAGCGAAACCCAGTCCTCTGGCGACCAGAGCAGGAAACCATTCGATGCCCTCCTCACCAATCATCGATCAAGACCAGCATATGAGCCAGCATGGGGCACGGGTTCGTCACCTTGTCCGCTTATCAGAGGTGAGCGGCCCAAAATGTGACCCGAAGGAGAGAAGAGCGAAGCAATGAGGCTGAAGAACCGGGACCCCATTGTTGCACACTGACGACAGACGGATTCCGGTATTGATCGATCAATAGACCGATGCCATTTTTCAAGGCGACTGCGTTCGTCCACCGCCTCTTTATACTCTTGACACAAGTTGGCCACCTCATCCGGCTTCAGCAACGTCCTTGCTGCACAATGAGCTGGCAGCCTCCCACTGGAAGGGACCCACCCATGTACGACCCGTCCATGCAAATGGCTCTCCGCCATTCCCATATTCCCTGATGCCAGCAGTCGCCGGCGGCAGAGACATCATCTGTCGTAGCTAAAGCGGCCATGTTGCCCCAGTCCGGTACGGCCACTGCATACCGGTCTCTCGATTGGAACGCTTATCAGCTCCCGCGTGGTCGGGTTTGCTGCCGCCTGCGTCATGCTGCTTCAAACCCTTACGCTCTTCAATTCAAGCTGGTTGGTCTCCCGTACTTTCCAGTACGCAGAGGAAACCTAATAACCATCCCGTGTTTCCTAGAAATATCATGCAGATTGATTAGTTAATTAGGTGGGCGCAAAGTGTCGCTAAAGACAGCCGAGAAGCTCAGTGTCTCGATTGCCGGCTATCAACCCTAGGCTGTGCCTACCTTGAGATAAATGACGGTTTGGGCTTGCAGATTCAGCGACATCAGACTGCACCGTTTTACTAGCTGAGCCGATGTTTTGTACAATCAACCACCGTGAACTACCTCTCGCGTACGTCAACAAAGAAGACTGCCTATAGACGGTGCCAGGGAATGCCATTGAACCATACAGGTAACGGCGAAATGCCATTGGAAGCATTCGTCGGTGTTTTCTGTTTCTCCAGGCGAGTTTACTTGTTTTACAATCAAAAAAAGCATGGGGCAATCGGAGATTCTAATGTATTTGTATTTGGTGGAGGCTCCAGTAACATGGGATCTCCAGGTTCAAGACTCTATCGCTGAGGGTATCTCCGTACCCGTGAGCTTTGCGAGGTGGGTCGCCTCTAGCATGTTTATTGGGCGGATCTCCCGCATGCCATTTTTCTGGGGGACGGAAAGCTACGATCGGATTTTGGAAGTCCAGGCCCCAGTCTACGGGATCCGGTAGGTCAGATAATCCGTGGCACTGGCTGGCTGGCTGGCTGGCTGGCTCCGCTGCCATTGAATTTGCGGTTGGCAGCAGCCCCCCTCAACCACCACAGGGAAGTAGCTAATTTTGGCCCAAGCGCGACTGGATGGACTGAGAGTGATTGCTGTGGTAGGAAACTGCTGCTACGAGATAATCCTCCTCCGAGCCTCCCATCTTTGCGACTTCGCCCTGAATTCGCAATTTTTTTCTTTCTTGCTTCTCTTCTTCAGCCCTCCGGCTGTCAGCGCATTCTGATCCAGTGACTGGTACCAGCAAAAGACCGCAATTGCTCAATTGAATTCTGATTTGCTGTGCCCCGTTCTTGCGACAACCTGCAATGCCGGAAGCCTTTGGCTCGGACTACTAACCCGGTTCCAACGCGCCGCCGCCTCTCGCATCTCGCTCCCCCATTTCCTCATTCACCCTCCTATTTTCTTCTTCCTTCTCCACCCAACACCACAGCCACAGATACATGCGCACCGTCTCGCCGACTTGCCAACCTCTCTCGACTGCCATACTCGACTTTCCCTGAGCCTTTGCTCCACCTCAGCACCCCGGACGATACGAACTGCGAGACCGAACCGCATCCCTCGTCTTGCGCACCCGCCCTGTCGAGGGTTTCCGTAGCTACTTGATGGAGGATGAAGCGCTAGCAATGGCGAAGATGGAGGAGGTCAAGATTGAAGAAGGTGGCGTGCCGAACGGTGTCAAGTTGGAACGGGACGCAAGCAAAACTCCGTCGCAGAACAAGAGCAACGAGGGCTCTCGCACCACTAGCCTGTCACCCGGCGAGGACACAACCAACGGCGATGGCATTTCGACGCCAGGAGGCACGCAGCGACCGAAGCTGTCTCGCAAGGCATCGCAAAAGCCCATCAAGCGCGAGGCGCCCCTCTTCCACGACCTGCCCGATGTCACTGAGCAGTCCTGTACCACATTTCAGGTAATACCCGATTGTCTGTACGGATCCAAGCATATGGGTTCGACCGACAATGACGCTCTCGATTGCGATTGCCGTTCTGAGTGGCGTAAGTCTTCCCGCCCTGCCGTTGTACCCTTCCGCGGTATCACTGTGAACCGCCCCGTACTGAAGTCTTGAGTATCTACAGACGATGGGGAAAATCTGTCCTGCGGTGAGGATTCCGATTGCATCAACAGAGCGACCAAGATGGAGTGCGTGGCGGGCGCTGGAAATTGCGGCGATGGCTGCCAAAATCAGAGATTTCAGCGCAAGCAGTATGCCAGTGTTTCAGTTATCAAAACCGAAAAGAAGGGCTTCGGCCTCCGCGCCAACGTCGATTTGCAAGCTAACGACTTTATTTTCGAGTACATTGGCGAGGTCATCAACGAGCCGACTTTCCGACGGCGAATGGTGCAATACGACGACGAGGGTATCAAGCACTTCTACTTCATGTCGCTGACCAAGCACGAGTTCGTCGATGCGACGAAGAAGGGCAATCTGGGGCGCTTCTGCAACCACTCGTGCAATCCCAACTGCTATGTCGACAAATGGGTCGTGGGGGAAAAATTGCGCATGGGCATTTTCTCCTCACGCCTAATCAAGGCCGGTGAGGAGTTGGTTTTCAACTACAATGTTGACCGTTATGGAGCCGACCCCCAGCCTTGCTACTGTGGCGAGCCGAACTGCACTGGATTTATTGGTGGCAAAACCCAGACCGAGCGGGCGACCAAGCTGCCCCTTACCACTGTGGAGGCCCTCGGCATTGACGACGGCGACAGCTGGGATATTGCAGTCGCTAAGAAGCCGCGCAAGAAGAAGCCCGAGGAGGACGACGAGGAGTACGTTAACAGCGTGCAGGCTAGAAGCCTCGACGACGATGGTGCTCGCAAGGTCATGGCGACGCTGATGCAGTGCAAGGAGAAGTGGATTGCAGTCAAGCTGTTGGAGCGCATTCAGCAGTGTCGGGACGAGCGGGTGATCCACTCCGTCATGCGCATGCACGCCTACCAGATCCTCAAGACCACGCTCAACACCTTTATCGACGACCATAACGTCGTCCTCCAGGTTCTCGACATTCTCGACAAATTCCCGCGATTGACGCGAAACAAGATCGAGGGCTCTAAAATCGAGACCACTATCGATGGACTCACGCAATCAGAGCACGAAGAGGTCAGCGCAAAGTCCAAGAGGCTGTTGGACGAGTGGTCCAAGTTGGAGCTCGGTTATCGCATTGGGAAGCGAAAGTTTGACCCCAACGCCCCTGCCACAAACTCCTTTCAAGAGCGACGCAACATGGGCCGCGATGAGGATGTGACCGCCAAATCGACCCCGGATCCCTTGCAGAATGTTGAGATACCCAAGGGTCCCCGAAGCAATGTCCCGCAGCGGAACACCCACTTCTTCAACGGCCCTCCCCGCCAAAGAAGGCATCAGAACTTTAACAACCATAGCGCTTTGCCAGCAGGATGGTTCACGGCGACGGATCAGCGTGGAAACACCTACTTTTATAGCAAGAACGGGGTCACAACCTGGCAACGTCCCACAAAGCCCGCAGACGCACAGAAGTCGACACCAAAGGCGCTGCAGGAGCAGCTGCTGCTCAAGAACATCATCGATCAGGTCACTAAGGAGCAGACCCCGAGGCCTTCGGCCTCGCAGACACCTCAGCGAGCAGAGACGCCCGTGCAGGAGAGCAAGCAAGAAAAGTGGCGCTCTCTTAGTACCGATAAACAAATGAAGATCTATGAGAACACGGTACGTGATGCACATTATGGAGGTATACGGGCAATTGCTGATCTCTAGAGTAGCTTTTCCCTCACGTAAAGTACGTGATCGACAAGTATAGACACAAGCTTCCCAAGGACGATCTCAAGCGGCTGGGCAAGGATGTCTGCAAGAAGCTCGTCTCGTCAGATTACAAAGGCAAACGCGTGCAGGACCCGACAACACCACTCGACCAGAAACAAGCGAGGAAGGTCAAGACCTACGTAAAGGATTTCCTAGACAAGGCCATTGTGAAGTTCAAGCACTTTGAGCAGGAGAAGGCAAAAGCGAGTCCTGTGGGCCAGGCAGATAAGCCGGGAAATGCCAACCGAGCCAGTAATGGTCTTGGGGCGGATACTGACGGTGCTGCCACGCCGGTTGATGCCGCTGACGACGTAATGCTGTCAGATATAGAGGATGCTGGCTCAACGGGAAGTCCCGAGCGAAAGCGCAAACGTGGAGAGGAGGATGCAGCAGAGTCCCTGGACCTAACTCCCTCGGATGAACCATTGGTGAAGCGGCTGCGAGAAGACGATGCGGAGGATGGTGCAACACCGCCTCCTCCCCCGCCACCCCCTCCTGCCGACATGGAATCTACTGTTACTCCTGAGGAGCCAATGACGGAGGAGCAAAGAGCTCTCAGGGAGCAAGAGGAAGCTCTCATGAGAGAGAACGAGGAATCTGAGAGGCTGGAAGAAGAGGCCGAGCTTACCAAGACTAAGGACATTGGAAGCGTGCCTCAGGGAAGGCTCGATGCGCCCCTTAACGATCATAACCGGATTAACGGGGGCGTGATTGTGGCTGGCGATGGAGATCCTGTTGACGAGTCGGTATTCCCGAACACAAGCAACAAGACAACTCGGCAACAAGAGGTCCTTGGCCACTAGCTATGGGCTAGGACAGAGGGGACATGACCAACTAACTGGCTGACACCCATGGTGTTAACGGAGAGAGTGTGGGTGGGTGAGTGGGTGGTGGCTGAGAACAAGTGAGCAAGCAGTCCTCGGCATTGTACGTATAAGCAGGCATATTGCATTTTCTGGAAGGGAACCAACAGGCCCCCCCCTCAAGCACTTGGTTGTTTGTTTTGTCACGATTATAATGTGTATATATCGGTCATGGAAATGGTCATAGCCTAGCGAGGCCGTACCCATTTATTTGCGAAGTTCCTTTTTTTTTTTTTTGCTTTCTGTCTCTTTGATCTGGGCCTAGGCTAGCACGGCAGGCGGCAGGCGGCAGGCAGCATGGGCCCGAGCCTGGGGCACCGAGGTGTGTGTGTTAGGGGGGGGGGATGGATAATGGGACTTGGTGGCATTGCAAAGCATGGGTCTCTTTTATCTTCACGCCTCAAAGAGGGCACGTTGAACAGGCAGGGCACAGGGCAGCAAAAAGGCATTTGTGACAAGAGCATGGACTTCCTCCCCCACTCCATTTTCCATGTCAAGTGATCCCTTTTGAAAGGGAGCACCACGGGGGAGAGACAGACAGACGAGAAAGAGAGAGCAAGCCCACCACTGTATGTGGTCGAATGGCATCAACAGCATTTTTAATGGCATTGCGAAATGGAACAAGGTCGCTTGGTATAAACCTGAGACCCTCAAGGTTCTGGCACAGATGCAATGGAGGCACAGTACTGACGCAAGTTGATCTCTCTATTTGTGTGACCTTTGCAAAGTAGTCGTTGTGAAAGCTGCCCTCCCCATTTTTCGATGTTGTACCCCTATTCCATTGTTATTCTTTTCTGAAAGACCAACCAATTCCGTGACTAACGCCGTGCTACCAAATGCCAGAAGTAGACTGCCTTTGTAGGAAGGGGCAAATCTGATACTAGATGGATGTCTTGTTGTTGCACGTCTGCAAACTCCTGGACCCAATTATGGACCTCTGTTCCCTATTGTCCCCTTCTCTTCGCTTTTCGATATCTCCCAACGTCTATCAGCAGCACCTGAATGCGCTCCCTCACTTTCTTTTATATTTATTTAGTCGTCAAAGCCCTCGTCCACCTCGGACTCCTCCTCGCTGCTGCTCTCGTCCCCGCCGCGCTTCCTCTTCTTCTTGCCGGGGACCTCCTCGGGCGCCTCGTCCTTGCGCATGAAGACGTAGCTCCGCGCCGGCCTCTCCTCGCCCTTCCAGGCCGCGCCGCTCGCCTCGCCCGTCTTCTTCTCCCTCACCACGCCCAGAGTCCGGGCGTGCTTGTACCCGGGGTAAGCCTTGGAGTGAAACTTGAAGCTCTGGAGGGACTGCAGCCCCGCGTGGCGGCCGAGGTCCTTGATGTTCCACAGCGTGTACGGGTCCCCCTCAAAGAGAGTGACGACGATGGTGCCGCCGGGGGCGAGGGAGGGGATCGCCGATTTGAAGAACGCGACGAGGAGCTCCTGGTTGTAGCGGACCTGACGGTTGCGGTCGGTAGACTTGCCGCCGACGTGGGGGAAGTTGAAGAGAATGCGCTTGAAGATGCCTTGCTTGGAGGGCGCCGCCATGTGGAAGCCGCGGTGGTTGGGCGCGGACTTGCGGGTGAAGGGCTTCATCGTGCGTGCGTCGACGTTGTAGAGGATCTTGTTATTATTGGCGACGGGGGGTTTGTACTTTTCGTCGTCGTCTTCGTTTAATTCTTCCTTTTCGTCGGCGGCAGGGTCGTCCGCGCCTTCTGCTCCTTCTCCTTCGTCTTCTGCACCGTTGCCTCCGTCCTCTGTGGGTCTCGAATCCGTCGGCGCCGCTGGTTTTGACGGGCTGGCGCCGTTGATCAGCGCAATGTTCTCGGCGGCGTGCGGGTATTTTTCCAGCAGCTCGCGTTCGTTCTTCTCGAGGACTGTGGCCGTCACGTTGCGGCAGCCGTGGTGGGCGGCGAGGCTGGCGGCGAAGCTGAGGTCGCCCTCGCCGATGAGGAGAATGGAGTCTTCGGGCGCGAACGGGATGACGGGCTCCTGGTTCTGGTGGTACTGCTGCTGTTGCTTCTTCTTCTTGGCCTCGCTATCGGCGACGTGCGCACTCTGGCTGGTTTTCTTCTTGCTGTTCTGGGCCGGGCCTCCGGGGCCGTTCCTCTTCTTGCCCGAGTCGACGAAGTGGTTTTTGTGGCTGACGCTGCCGAGCTTGCGCTTTTTGGCCATTGTGGGGTGGGCGGGTGAAGCTTTCGGTGCTTGGAGAGGGTCGAGATCCGGGCCGTCTCCTCGTCGGGGCAGTTCCGATTGGGGTTCCGAGATCAATGTCCGGCAGCAGCACGCGTGGTGGTCGCGGTGCAAGGTGGGATGTGTAGTCGGTGGTTGGTGGTGGTGTTGCTACCCGTGTCGGCGCCGGGGTGTGTGAATACCCCACGGTTGCTTGTTTGTACCTTGACCGAGAACTTTTTTTTTCTGCCGTTCTTCCTTTTGGCTTTGCGACCCTGTCCGCCCGGCGGTGAACTAGCGTGGCGCGAGCGCCCCGGCGGCTCGGGAATTGACGAGATTCAGCCGTGGTCCCCCGTGGCCCGTATGTCCGCGTTGCTTTCTTTGCCCGGTGTGCGTGTGACTGTTACAGTGGTCCAGGTGCTGCGTCACAGCGTGTCTGCCAGCGTCCCCTTTCGCTGGCCCCGTTGGAAACCGACCCCTGGAACGGGAGTGGGATTGGGCGACACCGGGTTATGGAGAACCGCAGGGGGTGGAAGGGGCGGCGGGAAGGTATCTGGTACATGCGGTGCTCTGAGGCGAACGTGGTCCTGTTCAGGGACTCGCCGACTTTGCACCCCGGGCGTGCGGCGTCGGTGGATACTCGGATTTGCAGGGAGGCAGAGAATTTCGGAGCCCATCCAAGAAAACGGTGAGATATCTGAAGGACACGCTGCAGGCTTTGTACCGGGCAGCCAGCCAGACCGCCGCCGTGTGATGGATTGATTCCATTGCTTATTCGGAGCATGTGGTAATGGTGGTGGTTGTTCGTCCCTTCTTTCTTAGCGTTACCGTTAAGCAAGTGGACCGAACTTGGATGAGGCTTGCCTGGCACGCATGTAACCTCGAGCAGCTTCGCATTTAACTAGACGCAAGGGAGATGAGCATGCCAGGAGTCTTGTCGTACAAAATGTGTTGCCGTAGCAGGCTCGCAGGAACTCATTGTCGGAAACCAGCGGACGGCGGTCCATGTCGAGACGGTCGTCTTGCTGAGATCTGCCTATTACCTACGTAATGTGATTCCATTTGCTCATTGAGCAGGGCACATGGCCAGCCACACACGTACAACACCAACATGCATCTAGCTGGGTCCTGGAGGAAGAAGAACTTGGCCCGGCTGGGGCTCGGGATCTGGCTAGAAGAGGCCCACCCGGACGGGTCCAAGACCTGTAAAAGTCGCACCGTCCGACTCGCCCGAACAAGCTGCGTACACTGCTTGAAGAAAAATGTCTGCTTCCGTTATCCAGAAGTTCTACTTGCCGAAGTACGAATGAAACGTCGACAGAATAAAAGGAGCCATGACACAGGATACCGGTGGAGAATAACCACCGTCGTAGGCTGGACGGTCGTGGTAGCACAGCCGATTACTATTATTGCCTGGATCAACGGCCGACGTCTCGAGATGTAACCCCCCGGCCCATCTCAATGCGACAGGCGTGGCAACTTGGCTTGCCGGGTGGCTTTCGTCACGTCAGGGGGCTCAGGGCGGCCACGGGAGACGGGCATCGGGAGTTGGGACAAATCAAGATAACGGTGCTGAACGATGCCTGGACGCTTTAGGAGCTGCCGACTGTACTAGGCACCGAATGATCTTTAGGTGACATCCTACAATCGGAACTCAGGCATCATGCACAGTGCAAAGGTGCAGCATTGCTTCGGCGTCCGCCATACACGTCTTGATCAAACCCAGTCAGTCGATGGCATCAGGGCAGTGGGCAATAAAACATCACTCAGGAACGGTACGAGATACGGGCACCGAAGACTGTGAACCACACACACAAGCAACTCAGGCATGCTCGCGTGTTGGCCTGCCAGGTTGCAAATCCCCATTTGAGGACCTGAGCGGCCCAGCTCGCTGGCGACTGAAGGAGAGGGCTTACACTGAGAGGGTGTGCGCGTGGCAGTACCCTGCCAGATGACAAAACCTACAAGTACTCGGTACTTTCTACCTGCTCTGGTCCGACAGGGGTAGAAGACTATTTCCGGTTGTCGGATTATCCAGCCCTCCGGGCGAATGAAAGCGCGGCAAATCGAGCCTACTCCTACCAGATTGGTGTAAGTGTCTGCAGGACAGTGCTGGGCTGGGCCTTGCCTTCTGCCTCGTTGTAGCAGGGTGGTCACGTCTGCTCCTGCCTCTGCTGTCGCTCCGCCTGGTATTATTTGCTTGCAAAAGGCAGGAAGGGGAAAAAAGCGAAGCAATCTTTTGTTGCACGCCGCAATTCAACACCGCATTCGCGCCACTCGACATTGACAGCCGTCTCTGCGGACGGACCTCATCTTTACCCTGATCCCAATTCTCCTCGCTCAAGCCCGTCTCTCATCGAGAAATCCTGGGCCGTTGCGAGAGACCAGGCGGCTGGCTGCTTTTTCTTAGCCCACACCATTACCGTCCCCGTCCAATCCACACCACACACCTCACTCACCCTCGTCCTGTTCTCCGAACAGCCAACAACGAGCTTCTACAGCCCAAAAGCTTCCGCCTGGCTTGGACCAGTCGCGTTTGATTCCTCCTCTCTTGAGATCGACTGAATAGCACCCGGGCGGCTCGTCACCCAATTCTCTTTTTCCTCAAGCCGCGTACCGAACTCATCTCACGTTTCCCCCGTCTCATTACACCCATACCCGCTCACACTTTTGCCTCCACCCATCTCCGCCCCCCTCTCCTCTTCACGTCTCTTTCATGAACGGTCATCGCCATCATGTCAGACGTTGAGACACCGGAGCAGTCCGCTTCGACTCCAACGCCCCAGCTCACGCCCAAGGCCAAAGGCAAAGGCAGAGGCCGGGGCAGAAAAGCTGCCGCTCCCAAGAAGGAGCCGCCAAAGCCCGCCGCCGCCGCCGGAACAGGTCGACGCGGCCGATTCAAGCAGTTCGCCGACGACAAAGTCCAGGCCAACTATGAACGCCAGCGCGAGCTCAAGGCTACTTATGCGGCTCTCGCCAATGTTGTGAAGCCTGCCCTTCAGGACTTGGCCTCCCGAACCGTCAAGAAACTCACCAGGAATGAGGCATACCACATGCTGGTGCCGGAGTTTGCGGTTGTCAGCGAACACGTCGACTTGCGCCTCGATAGACAACTCGCCCTCTCGGAGAACAAGCTGGCGATTGTTGCCAAGATGACCTTCAAGGCCAAGCAAATCCAGCTTGACGCTGTGCGCGACATCTACAAGGTACGTGAGACCCCGACTGACACGTCGTGTTTTTCTCGCTCCACTGGTCATCCGCTGACTGGCGGTGATCCGCGGCATTAGAACGGATTTGAAGACCTTGAAAACGAGTTCCTGGACGCGCAACTTCATCGCCTCGACATTCTGGAATACCTCCATGATCACGGCTTGCCCGTTGATGTAAGTTTTCTTTTTTCTTTCTTTTTTCCGTTCTTCTCCTATATCTCGCTTATTCACACTGGCCTCAGCTCGTCGACGGCGGCTGGAATTACAAGCAAATTTCCGACAAGGAAGCCAGCGAATTTGGCATTTACGAAGTCTATGTCGATGGCAAACTTGTTCCCTACCCTCAACTCGTCGAGGGAACTGAAGCCAATGCCCTCAGACAGGCTGCTTGGGCCGAGCCTCAACCGGCCAAGGACAGTCTTGCACCACCCACCTCAACCGCTGCTGCAACGCGGACCAAGCGCAAAGCAAAGGACCAACCAGATGGTCAGCCTGCTTCCAAGAGATCTGCCGGTGATGTCGCGCCTGTTCGTCACATCGCGGGTATTATGTCGGCTCAACAGGCTCCAATTGAGGACGAGTCAAACGAGAGTACGCCAGTTCCAGAGGGCCCGGTGACCGCTGACCAGAGAGAACCGGCCTTGCCAGCCAAGGCGTCCGAACCGGACGAGTACGGGTGCCGACAGGTCAACCGCCCTACTGCCAAAAACGGCGCTAGTATCGCCAACCGCCTCATTGTTCCTCCGTCATTCCAGTTCGACGATGACGAGATTGGGTACCGCGATTCGACCAACTCCCCTAGGCACGGAGCTACTCTCGCAAAGCGTGGCAAGTATCTCGGCAAGCCCAACTCGAACACCTGGCACTACGATCCCCTGCTTGCTCGTTGGGACGCTCGGGAAATTGAGGAAGACGACTATGACAAGGAACTGGTGGAGAGGTTTGCTGTTCATCCGCGCTACGGCTACTTCCTTCCTAGTAGCAAGAACGACGCCGAGCCTCCAAAGCCGGAAGCAAACCCAATGCACCCGACCGTGTTCCTGACGCCTTCTGGCAGGACCATCCATGCGTCTCGTGTCGTTCCTGCAGCAAAGGTCGAGATGGCCTTGGCGGACAAGCCCCATCAAGGCAAAATGGCTGCCGTTCTCTCATCGGTATGTGGCAAGAATGACATCTCGCCGGATGACATCGAAGGTCCCGAGCTCAAGGCCCTGAAGGACATCCAGGCCGAGTATGCCGAACAGAGACTTGTTGCCGAGTCTATCAAGGAGTCGGAGCCTGAAAGCGTTGAAGACACGCCTGCTACTTCGCCTCTGCCAACCAATGATTCCGCCCTAAACATAGCGGGCATGGAGGAGCTCCTCGTTGCCGCCGAAGCTGTTGAAGCCGAGAGCAGGGAGATTAGGCCGGTCGAGGAAAAGCCTGCGTTTCTTCCCGCTCCGACTCCCGCGAGGCCTGCTACGCGTGCCTACGACGCAATTCGAGATATCTTTGGAGCAAGTGATTCCCCCGCTCCCGAACCTCCTGCTCCTGCCATGGCCCCCGAGCCTCTCGACACCACTGCACTCGCCATCCTCGCCGACGCGTCCACCGCCGCTCAGACCACTCAACCCGCTGACGTCGTTATGGCTGACGCACCTGTTCGCCACCCCATCCCACTCGACGGACATCGTCACGGCAACATCGAGCCCGGCTACTCTATCCAGCCTATGCCAGCTGAGTCTCTTACCTCAGGCGCACCTCCTAACGACGGTATCAGCTGGGTCGAGCCCCGTATCGCATCTCCGGGAGCCGACAGCCGGATACACCCATCCATCGAGACTGGCCTGATGCGGGATCATCACTCGAACCAACTACCCCCCGCACGTCCAGTTGAGATGTCGCAAATGCGATCTTCCATCGATGCTTCGAACGATACGCGCCGACACTCGATGTACCACGAGCACAGTGGCCCCTCGGCCTACAATGACCAGCACCTACCTCCTCCTCATCAACAGCAACACTACATGGCGGCGGATCCCATGATTGATCCCCGCCTCTACTCTGCGCCGATGGAGGCGCAGGCCGGACATCATGAGTATCACCAGCAAACTTACAACCAGGCTCATCAGGGATATCAATTGCCGGCAATGTCCATGCCAGGAGGTCCGATGGCACAAGGCCCTCCACAACTTCAGCAGTCCGGCTCTACCTCCCGGATGCCGTTTACAAACCCCTCTCAGGACAGAAGCTCGCCGCTTCCGCCGTTGCGACCGTCGCGAGGGCGTAAAAGCGCCCCTGCTGCATCGGAGCAGTCCATGTCTATGGAGCACCAGCAGCAGCAACAACCGCCTTCGTACATGAACAGCAACAGTGGCTCGTTCTATCCTCCCGGTCCGCCGAGACCTTACCACAATGGCTACTCCCAGGAGCAGCCTGGCATGCCGCCTATGATGGGCCAATATCCTCCTTACCCCGGCTCGCAGCCTCCAGTGCCACCCCCTCAACAGCAACAGCAGCAGTCGTATGGGCCACCAGGAATGTCGCCTACCTACTCCTCCATCGCGCCTGCACAGAGCTCCCCCACCCTTCAGTTCGTCCAGCAGCAGCCTGGCGAGCCTTCGAGAAGCCGGGCGGGAAGCGGCTCATCCACACCGAGCGCCCCGGGCAACAGCAAATACCCCAAGCTGGCACCTGCTCCCCTGCCCGCTCACAGAGTTGGCTGGCCACAGGGCCCCGAGTTGAGGACTGTTCAGTATGATTACAAGGAGAACATCAAGGATTATTCACCCACCGAGCCCCCTCCGCGTCGCGGCCCTGTCCAGATCCGGGGATGGAATATCAACAACAATAGAATCCAACGTCAGAAGACGGAAGAGAATGGCGACGAGCGTCGCGGTTCCCGCTAGGAACAGGACCAGGTCCGCAAGAAGCCGGACTCGATGCCCAAAATGAAGGGTCTCAAGAAGACTACCAAGAAAAACACTGCCAAGACGGCGGCCACTAAGAAGGCAGCTCCTAGGAAGTCCGCCTCCAATAAGCGCGACTGCAAGGGCGCCTCGCTAAAGATTTGAGCATCAGTGGAGAGCGAGTCAGGAAAAGCGAAAAGAACATGTACTATATTACCTTATCACTTTGGACTTTGGTTTATACCTCTGGGGACGAATTACCCCCATGATACCAAGGCGGAGGAAAGCAAAGCAGAGAGGGAGCTCGGGCCGAAAAACCGTCCAGGAAGCTCCCCAGAAGGAATGGGAGTTAGGGCCGAGGGGCTATGGTCGATACTAGACCCGAGTAAATTTGGAATGATAATGAACACTTGGAAGGGAATCTGGTTTCAGACAATCTGCGCGACTGCATGTGAACTGGCAATGACTGAAAGCTACTTGACTTTCCGTCCGCACCAGGTTAGAGTTACACACGACAAGCAATAGCGGTGACCAAGAGTGTTCAGAACATGGACGCGAGCCTGATCAATCTTTGTTTGATTACAGTGTAGGCAGCTTAATATTACATGTGTCCGGCCCAACTTTTTTTTCTTCTTCTTGTCAAATCCCACGCTGGTAGAAAAGTGTCGGGATAGGAAATCCCGGTGTCCAACTCCTTGCTTCAAAGCCCAGCCGTGTCAAGGCCGCCGACGCGTGCCAAGAGAGGGAATAAGGGCCTCCTACTGGGTAAGGATCTGGTTTCCAAAGTCCACCGTGCCGTCCATGTTCATCATCATGCTAGGGTCGCCGGGAACCATGCCTCCCCCGTTGGGCATGAGACCGCCGGCCGCGGCGAGGGAGAGCAGGCCGCGGCCCAGCTCGCCGACAGGGTGCAGCGGGAGAACCGACGCCTCCATGCTGTTGCCGTCAAAGATCACCATGTTCTGGATGGGCTGCTGGGTCTGGCCGAGGACGTTGATGACGTCCTGCGCGAGCTCGCCTCCGAGGATGGCGGTGACCGGGGCCATCTCGCTGCCGATGTTCTGCAGGAAGCTCCGCAGCACCTCGGAGCGCAGAGTCTCGGACGGGAGGCCCAGCTGGGCGTGCTTAGCCGTGGCAAGCTTGGTGAAGAGACCGAGGTCCTCCTTGGTGTGGCTGGGCAGTCGGCCGCTGTTGAGGACCTGGAAGTCCCACAGCGCCCGCAGGCAGGAGATGACGGGGCTGACCGCCTTCTTCCTTCTCGCGCTCTTCGCGTACTCCTCGGGCAGGGTAGCACCGTCACTAGCGAGATACCATGTCGAGTAGAGCTCACGCTTCGTCACCACCTCGACCGTCTTGCCGCCCTCCTTCTTTGTGCTGACGCCGACGACGCTCCGGGTTCTCGTCTCGGGCCCCAGCTTCGTCGCGACGTTGCCGAGATCTCTCTCGATGACGTAGTCGTGCTCGATCAGATCGGAGAAGATGAAGCCGTACATGCCGTGCGTGCCGGCGGCGTAGAATGACCTTTGGTGCAGGCGGGTGGCGGTGTTGATAATATTGAGGGAGTCGGGGTCCATGTCGGTGGCAATGACGATATCGAAGGCCGAGAAGTAGCTCGTGCCCTTGGATTTGATGCCCTCAGCATCCACATGGACCTGGACACGGGGGTTGAGCTTCTGAATGGCGGCGGCCGCAGCCTGCGCGCGGTTCTGGCCAATGTGGTTCTCCTCCTCAGACAGGAAGAACTGTGATCCCAGATCTGATTCCGTAACGGTAGCGCCGTCGAGGATGGTGAGGGATCCGATGCCGGCAAGGACGAGGTTCTTGGCGATCTCATTCGCAAGAGCCTTCATGGTAATGAGGAGGACGTTTGCATTGCGGATCTTCTCCTGGGCCTTCATGCCCCAGAGGCGAATCTGACGGTCATAGAGCGCAATCTCATCTGAGAAAAGGGTCAGCCATCTAGTGGGTTCTTCTTGCGAAGTGACGCATACCTGCGCTCATTGCGGGAGGTGCGGCGATAGGGAGGCCTTGAAGCATGCCGTTGTTGTTATACATTTGTCCGCCCTGTTGGAGAAGCTCGGGCATGAACATCTGGGTCGCTTGGAACATGTCCGGAAGCATGTTTGGGGGTAGGTCTCCTGTAGGCATGCTTCCAGGCATGACCCCCTGCAGGGCTTCGGGAAGGACCTGATCCATGAGCGCGGCTTGCATGCTGGGGTCAAAACCGTTGGAGGTGTTGGGCAGAGGGTGGTGAGGGACGATGGTTTCCTGTGCCGGGGTGCCGTTGCTGGGCGCGGTGGTCTCCTGCGCCGGCTTGTCCTGAGGCTGTGTTTGCTCATCCATCTTGAACGGCTGAGATGAGACTGCGCCGAGAGCAAGGTGATATATGACGCAAAGATGGAGAATCTGTCCGCGGCTTGTAATTTGGATCGAATTACGGACGAATTAGCTCAGTAAAGCATACGCGCCAGGTTCTGGCCTGAAAGCTGTGTTGGCGCGATGAGGTAGTAGTAAATCGAAGGTGAAAGAGGCCGCGTCGAGTGACCCCGGGAGTCGGGCTTGCCGTGAGGCCTGTCAAAGGAGCGAAGCCGGGGGGTCCGTGAATTAAGTCGCTAGAATTTGGTTTGCTCGCTCGAGGAAATTGATGCTCGATATGTGAGTATGTACGACCCGAACTCACCTCTCGAAGCAAGGCTGAAGGTTGAAGGCTGGACGGATTCATATGAGGTTGAGGCTAAGGTAACTTCTATTCGTCAGAAATTGTTAAGGTGCCAGGCCGCTGGCACCTTCCCGCCTCCCAATGTAGGCCATGGCTGGAGCACGGATAACGCGCTAGAGCCACACTAAAGTGGTACCTGGATGGGGCACGTGGTCCCATACAATGATCGAGTACTGCTTACCATTTCCTATCGAGAGCCCCCTTCCTTGCACCAGTGGCTCATTATAGGCACGAAACCCCGCGATAGACAGGGCCAGGGGCTCTCTTTAGCGGGTGCATCAGGGCGATCCCAACTGGCTCTGCGATTGGAGGTAAGCTTGCTGCACTCGGAACAGTACCAAACCAGGTATCAGTGGCACCCTCCAGTCCAACCCCGATTTCCTACGTCAACCAACTTCCGCCATTCGCTGGCCTGCTGACGACAAATCTTCGAGCCCGCGACGACGGTCGTTCGCGCCAGTATCGTTCGGCTCTTTCTCTCTCTCAAAAAAATACAAGCATCCATCTCATCAGCCATCTGTCCCTTGGCTACGGTAAGGACTGACGACTGATTATACCCTGATCATCGGTCGCGACCTCTGTGAGTGCGTCCTTGATGGTGGTGGGTGGTTCTGTGTATTCCATACCCTCCGCTCTGTCGACTGTGGTTTTAAGCACGGCCAAAGCCTTTGCGACGTTTCTGCGGTGTTATCTCTGGTATTCTAACTAGTCTACCAGCTTCCAAGCTTCTCGATCGGCACCCGGCAGGTTGCTCCCTGGTCTTTACCATTTATCCCACCCACTCAAACCCACCGAAGTTGCCTCCCACCGAATCCACAATTATCCCCTCGAACCGCGGCCAACACTCCCACCGCTCTTCGCTCTCGCCGACATTGACGGACACGATACCGGGCGACTCTGAACGCAAATCTCTGTCCCTGACAGGCGCCTGCGTCGCTGGGTGTTTGTAATCTCTACCGCTGAAGCATGTCGTCGCAGCGGCCAGACCCGAGCCAGAATTCTCAAAGGCGCGACAACAACGACTATCCGCCTTTACCACCGCATCGAAGACTACCCCCACTGCCGCCTCTGCCCGCAGATCATGTGATACACCCTCCTCAGCCACCTCGACACCCATGGGAACCCGATCCCTACACGACCCAAGACCAGACTGAATCTTATCTTCATCTTAGGCGGCATATGGCAGACAGAAATTTTCAGGCCGAATACGACGAGCTGGTGGGAAACAGCCTGAATGGTTTCACAGCATTCATGTCTGCGGCGCAGGACGACTTTGGTTTCTCCCAAGATAGCACCCAGAACCGGAGCCAGGCGTCCAATTTACTAGATACACCCCAGAACGATCAGCGAGACAACGACGACGTCCGAAGACACCCCCTCCAATTACCGCCCGTCTTTGGTTATAGGGCCGTTCGATCAATAAACGGCCGTCAGCGACCCGAGGGCGCCGAAGACGACGTAGAGGCAGTGAGAGCCCTGTGGAATCGTAGAGCTCAATATAGCTCCTCACCCTTTTCACCGCCCAGGATGCCTCCTAACATGTCCCCACCTAACCTATCCCCCCTTCCTCCTTCGGAGGAATACCCCGAGGGGACCCGAAGAGTAAAAAGGAGAAAGCTGGACTCCGAACGCGCTTCTCAGAGCTTCAAAGGATTTCGGTACGGTCGATATGGGCAAGTTGAGCCCGGCCAGTTGAAGATGGAAATCGTGAGCTGCGACGGGGGACTGTACGAGAACGCCTCCCTGCATGCTTACGAGAATATCTTAAAAGACGACAAAACTGTGTACTGCACACAATCCAACCGTTGCAACATCATTCTGCGGCATCAGGGCGCAACAGCATTTACCTTGAAGGAGCTTGTGATCAAGGCGCCCGCATCAAATTACTCATCGCCGTAAGTGATATCTGCGCCGATCCTACGGAAACTAGATCTGACAAGTTCCGGCAGCGTGCGAGAGGGAATGGTGTTTGTGTCTATGGACCAAGACGAGCTGCTTAAACGCACAGCGCAATATGAGATACAGTATGCCCCGCTGAGGTCAAGTCGTTCATCGGCGACAAGGGCGCTGGCCCCCATCATCTCAATACGTCACCACGAAGATGGCACAACCGTCACCAGAACTCATACGCGGCAAAGGCGGCTGTACAGTTTAGGTCACGATGAGGAAGAAAACGGGCCAAGGACGGCGCAGATCCCCGCGGAGTTTACGACCCACTTGCCGCCTTTCAATATCACAACCGAGTGTAGTTACGAGGAGACCGATGACGAGGAAAATCCAAGGGTTCCTGTCAATCGACGAGCACCCAATAGAATTGGAGCCTTGCCTTTTGAGAGTGACAGCAGTGACGACGGCAATCCATTCGCCTCGGACGAGTATGGATTTGAAGAGTTCCCCTTCACTAGCAGGCGTCGAGACGCTTCCGACATGTCTTTGGCAGAGGCTGTAGAGGCAACTCAGGTGGCAACGCAGGAGGCTGTGCGAGCCGTCGGTGGGGAGCTCATGGCCCCCCATGCCAAGTTCTTTATCGAAAAGGATAAGAGCAAATGTACCATTCGGTTTGATCCGCCAGTTTCTGGACGATTTATACTCCTGAAGATGTGGAGCAGCAGCCGGGCATCCGGCAGCAACATCGATATTCAAGCGGTACTCGCCAAAGGTTTCGCAGGGCCGCGGTATTTCCCTTCGGTTGAGTTACGATGACCCGCTGTAGAAACGCAGCTGGCGAAGAGGTGTTGCGAACAGGGTCATAATGGGTGGATGGATGCCTGTAATCCGCGTTATGATGGTTACAACGGAGTTGTTGGCGTTTGATTACAGACGGCTGGGGCTACTCGGGTGTGACAAGGAAGTCACTCATCATATACCACGTGCGACTATACTAGGATTGACAATTGAATTTGAGCTCTCAAGCTTCATATCGAGTTTGGTGAAAGTCATGTTTTGGGTGAGACACGGTTTCGGTCGCCGCAGACAACCATTTACCTTCAGTTATTAGACAACGGTGTTTTTAGATTGTGTCTACTTCAATCTAGCCTTTGCAGCGGGCTACTCGCTCAACAGCATTTAACTCGAGGTTTGCATTGATGTTTGCGAGTCCAATACGCATTCCTCAAGGAACCCACCGATTGGCCGGCGCCAGTCGTGTGGCTCGATCGCGTCCCGCAAAACTAGACTACACTCCATCCACATCTCATACAACGCACAACCCTCCACCACAACCACCCGACTTACATATAGCAAGTTGCTCTGATACGCCGCTCTCAACTTGGCTTAACATTTCTTGGCAAAACAACAATTGGCGTCTCAAACTAAGAGTTCCAGCAGAGAAAGCAACGCAACCCAGGCCCAGAAGGGACGTCCCGCCATGAGTCACGAGCTCACCCTCATCGTCGCGGCGACGCGCAACATGGGAATCGGCGCCAAGGGCGGTCTCCCCTGGACGGGGCTCAAGAAGGAAATGGCCTACTTTGCGCGCGTGACGAAGAGGCTCCCATCCCAGGTACCCAAGGTTCCCGCCTCTCCCCTTTCCCCTTCATTTTTTTCTCCTTTTCTCTTCGCCTCTCGCACATGAGATGGGACCGTCACAGAGCGTCCATGGCATCATGTAGCCTAATCTATGTACTAGTCCGCCGACGCTGACCCTGTAACTACGAGGTAAAAGGCCCCCCCGGACGCCCGCAACGCCGTCATCATGGGCCGTAAGACGTGGGAGAGCATCCCCCCGAAGTTCCGCCCCCTCAAGGGCCGCCTCAACATCGTCATCAGCCGTTCTCACCCCGCCTGGGACCCGGCCTCGGCGCCCGCGGCGGCGGCGATGCCAGACGCCGACAAAGAGCCCGTCAAGGTGGGCTCCCTGGAGCAGGCGCTCGCGTATCTGCGCGCCGACGGCGTCGCCAGCCGGCTGGGCAGGGTGTTCGTCATCGGCGGCGCGCAGATCTACGACGCCGCGCTCCGGGCGCCCGAGGCGAGGAGGGTGCTGCTGACCAAGGTCCTTGCCGAATTTGAGTGCGACGCCTTCTTCCCTCTAACGCTGAGTGACGAGGGGGGGGGGCGGAGGGGTGGAGGAAGCTCGAGAAGCCGGGTCTGGACGCCTGGGTCGGGGAGGAGGTCGAGGGGGGCGAGATTGAGGAGAACGGGACGAAATATGAGTTCCAGATTTGGGAGAGGGCTTGATATTAAGACCGCACATGGTCCGTTGCAAATGGAAATTTAAAAAAGATTATCTGCTTTTTACATAAGTTGGATCGATGAGCTTTCTTTCTTTTTTCCCCCCCCTTCTTCTCTTGTGCCCTTTCCCCGGCCCGTGCCTCTCTAGGTAGTATGCGTTGGTGCGTGTACAAAGTTACAAAGCGTAAATGCGTCATCCCTTGCGCATGCCAGGTTACAATCCGCGACCTCTGTCGTTACTATACATCACAATCGCTTCACAATGATACAGGTACAGTAGTCCCCCCTCCCTCCCTCCCAGAAGCCTTGCTCGGGCGGTCTCTGTCCCAGCCAGCCAGAATTGCTGTCAAATCTCAGGCCTTGGCTACGGCCTCCCCTTGGACAACGCCGGCCTTAGCTAGGTCCGCCTGGACCTGCGGCGTAACAGCGTCGACGAGATTGAACATTTCCCTGATGTCCCTCTTGAAGACCTTGGCCGGTGCCACGAGCAGGTCCTCGGCAGGGGCTGCCTCGAGGTCCTGCATTGTGGCGCGCAGCCAGGCGACGACAGCAGCAACCTGGCGCATGTCAGCATCCTCGCGGGACTTGAACAAGTTGCGCCAGATGGCGGCGGCGAGCACGCGGTCGTCCTTGACCACACCCTCATCGTAGGCGGCGATGAGGCCGCGCCACTGGACGAATATCTCCTTGAGGTACCGCTGGCGCAGCGCCGACGAGCTCATGCCGTGGTTCAGGTGCATCATGCGCTCGCAGTCGAAGAAGAACTGGTCGATGAACTGGTGCTGCAGGTTACGGGAGGTGTCGCGGTCCAGGCATCGCATGCGCGCGATAACGGTGTACATGTGCAACATCGTGGCCTGGGACCACGAGCTGAAGGAGGGTTGAAGGTCCAAGCCTGGTGGCGGAGGAGGGAGTCAGCAAGGGCCTGTTACATCCAAAGTCTTGTGCAATCGACGGCATGGGGCAGTTCCCCCGGGGGGGGGGCACCAATAGGTCAACGTACATTGCAGCCACGGTCCGATCGGGTACCCTATCTCCTCGCCCTCAGTCGTCATGCGAACCGTGTCGTTGGTGCGCTCTTGCTCCGGGATCTGGTACAGCGCTGGTGCCGAGCAGATCTTGTAGAGCGCCTCGAGGCGGGAGGTCGTCAGGGCCGCCGCCATGGTCTTTGGCGCGGCGGCCCCAATGCCCGACGCGATGGCCTGCTTGAATGCGGACGACGGCGACCCATTCCGCCGCGTCGTTGTCTGGCTAAAGCATCTCCTTGACGGAGGGGTTGGTGTCGTGGAGGTCGCCTTGGCCACTGGAGTCACCCGGCGCGCCGTAGCAGCGAAAGGGTTCCAGGGCGAGGCGAGGTCGGCGGTGGCTCGCAAGCTCCGGGCCAGGAGTCTCGCCTGGTAGCGGCAGCTTTGGCAGGCCATCTTTCCGGTGTTCGGTGGAAGTAGGTATTGTTCGTGCCGAGCCTGCGCAGATTGTGGATTGGTGGGGATTCCTCGTTCGGAGTTGTGTCGGTAGCTTCGTAATCGAAAATGGCCGATACAGCCTTTTTCTCCTCAACTCGGGCCCAAGTCGCGGAAGCTTAAAAGTCTGGACGTCATCCAAAAAAAAAAAAAAAAAAAGTCCATGAACACATCGAATTGGGAAATTTCGAGTTCGCAGCGCATGCCCGGTCGGCGGAACTTCGGGCCATACGCGCTCAGCCTCGACTGCACAGTGTTTCCTGGTCTTTGCACGGTGGCGATTTTCGGCCTGGATTGCGCTCTTCGATGACGGTTAGGTTAATAATCCACGAGTCTTCCCGGGCCACAACCACATTATTACTATATGGTTTACGGCTTACTTTGGATGTGCGCTCATCTTTCCGAGTAGTTGTCCTGTGCGATCTTACGAGGGTCTACCTTGGCCACCCATCTCAGCTTTGGGCTTGGTCTTCCTTGCTTGTATCTCAGTTTGGACATGTTCCTTTCCTTGTTCACACTTTTACGTCGGAGATGGTGTTCGCCAAATTCATCTCATGCTGCTACCTACTCATGACAGATACTGGCCACGCATGCGGACCACGCACGCCCACCGGCAAGTATATTTATTAGAACTCCGTAGTCCAATCATTCGAGTTGTACGATACTCAGGCTCCATAATTAGCTCTTCAAAGTAAAGCAAACAGACATGCAAAAACCAAAACCAAAAAGTATGAGCCAATTCTCGATAAAACGTGGATACGCCTGTCATCGCTAGGTTCTTCTGGCTGCATCGGCACCGCTCTCCTCGCTCTAGTGAAGCTTGGAGAAAACAAGCGAGGCATTCGTGCCGCCGAAGCCGAAGCTGTTAGAGATAGCATTGTCAACCCGTTTGGTCTGCGCTTGGAGCGGCACGAGATTCATGGATCCCCCGACGTTCGGGTTTTCGAGATTCAGCGTGGGTGGCACGATATCCTTTAGCATCGTCAGCAAAATCTCCATTTTAGACAAGAAGTCTAGGAAAGATAAGGTTTCGGTTCAATAACCGAAAGGCCGCGACTCACCTCGGCGACTGATAGCACGGTGAACAGTGCCTCAATGGCGCCAGCCGCCCCTAACAAATGGCCGACGGCACCCTTGGTGCTGCTCACCGTGACACACGACTCGTCCGCGTAACCCTCCTCGCCTGTCATGATGAGTCGTATCGCGGAAGCCTCTGCCGCGTCGCCCACCTGCGTCCCAGTGGCGTGCGCGTTGATGTAGTTCACCTCCTCCGGTCGAACGCCGGCGTTTTTGAGGGCAAGCTTCATGGCGCGGAAAGCTCCATGGCCGTCTTCGCGCGGGGCTGTCATGTGATGGGCATCGCCGCTGCAGCCGTAACCCCTCACTTCCGCGTAGATACGAGCGCCCCGAGCCTTGGCGTGCTCGAGTTCCTCCAGCACCAAAACTGCCGACCCCTCCGAGATGACAAAACCGTTGCGGTCGCGGTCAAAGGGACGGCAGCTGGCGTGGGGGTCGTGGTTGTAGGCCGTGGAGAGGGACCTTGCCCTTCCGAAACCGGCAAAGGTTAGGGGATGGATGCAAGATTCAGTACCACCAGCGACCATGACGTCCGCGTCCCCGAAAGCAATAAACCGCATGGCATCCCCAATGGAGTGGGCGCCAGTGGTACAAGCGGTTGTGACGGCATGGTTCGGTCCCCGGAGCCCATATTTTATTGAGATGTGGCCAGCAGCCAAGTTGACGAGAATCTTGGGGACGAATAGCGGCGAAACTTTCTTGTAGCCCTACCCAAACAGACTTTAGCTTGGCATCGCTCGTCGATAACTGCGGCGAACTCTCACTTGTTGGTCAAATGCCAAGCTCGTTTCGTAGATCTCTTCAAGATTTCCTATGCCGCTTCCGAGGCAGACGCCCGTGGCCTCTTGGTCGTCCTGGCAGGACGGCTGCCACCCAGCATCTTTCATAGCCATCTCAGCACATGCCACGGCATACTGGGCAAACCTAGACATGCGACGCTGTTCCGTGGCATCCAGCCAGTCGTCAGGCCGCCAATGGTCTGGATCTGAGCCATGGCTGGGGACTACGCCAGCAACTGTGCTCTTCAGATCTTTCCAGCGGCTTTGCGGCTCCAAGTTGGCCACGCTGGTGATGGCAGACTGGCCAGCCAAGAGACGATTCCATGTGGAGCGCACGCCGACACCAAAAGGCGAGATGGCACCGAGACCTGTCACGACAACTCGTCGCATCATTCGGCCATGTCCAAGGGGGGGTGTGTGTCGTGTTTTGTTCAGAAAAACGCACCGACGTGTAAGCAGGCAAGACAAGAAGATGGAAAAGGGCGGGGCGGAAGGGGCGGGTCGCTGCTTCGAAGGTGGGGATGGATTGAGAGCCGAGTGAAGCAAGAGAGTGTGTCAGTGCAGGTGTCGGTAACCATGCGAAGAATGGGTAGGTAGGGTGGGAGGTAAGTAAGTAAACAGCAAACTTGAAGTCGGAACAACGTTAAAATGCGCGGTCGGGTCGTCTCTGCTACACCGCACAGATGGAGAGTTTTGGCGCGACTTGTGACTTTGATAGCGCGGCACGTACAGGCGCGACTCCCATTAGCAGAAGCATACAGCGTGATATGTACCACTGCAGGAGGCTGAGACGAGGACCCATATGCACACTGTGCGGTCAGGTGCAGGCTGAGTTGGTGAGATCACAGTGCGAGGACCTTATCTCACGTCGATAGATTCTGCGCAGTAAGGGACCACTTGTACCTTCCAGTTTACCTCGTACGTACATGGTAAGGCCGACTAGCGGGAAGCGACAGGGGGCTCAGCATAACCTCAATGGAGCTTGGCTCAGGGTTGGACGGCAGCCACTCACGAGTCAGAGACCGACTAGTACCGGGGAACTGGCCACTGCGTCGCAAACGCAACGCAACGACACGTCGCGACTGGCGTGTTCTCACACGTTGTCTCTTTCCCCCCTACATGTCGATGAATATTGCACCGCTTTTGAGAAAGCTTCCCTGAAATTTGTTTTCTGTCATGCTTCTATCGATCCCATAAGGTGGCATCCTTGACCGTCCCATTGCATTCTTGCTGACCAGTAGCCTTAGGACCATCACAAAATCAACCCCTTCAAAGAGACGGAATCCCTGGCGGACAACATCTCATCTCATCAGGCGTCGTTGATCCACGTTTCAGACACCAAGATCTTCCTGGCATTCCAAATCGGTATCATCGATAGCTTCCAAGAGAAATAAATGAGCACTCTGGAGCAGAGGCGACTTTGAGCCCTGCGTCTCCCCCCATCTTGCAGGGTCTCCCATCACATCTCGGCATCTGCAAACTCACCGTCCGCCTTCATCCCCGCAAACCAAGTTGCTATCTCCGGCCTCGATTTGCCACACCATACTGCATCTGTGCTGAGTTGTGCCGCAGCTTGGTTTCAGTGTCGCATGTGTTTCTCTTTCGATCATTGGCCACCCGTCGAGCAACCATATCTCACTCAGCCTTTTCGTTATCCGAGCCTTTTCACTAGCCAGGAAACCCGCCTTCCTTGAGACTAGCCGCCTTTCATGCCTTTGACCACCTCGTCTTCGACACCCTTGACCATCTGATCACCGCACACGACACGCTCAACGATACTTTACCCCAGTGGGTGCTTTCGCTATCTCTTGGTCTGATCCCGGACTGTGGATCGCCAAACTTTCCTACCGAGTATCACCCTGCCTCCCCAAGCACGGGGGTGGTCTCTGCGCTGTTATCTGCACCTGCGACCTGCTCGCTTCGGGGTTCAGAACTTACCACGCTACTGGTCGTCTCAAGAGGGCCGCGCCAGTGCCTTATCCGATACAATCAGAAAAGCAAATAGCCTTTGCTTCATATTGGTCTGGGATCGGTCCTCTTAGCTCAGTCGGTTCTCATCCGTCCTTCAACGCCATTCGCATAGACACCTTAGACTCCCCCTATATAGAAACCCACTGCCTCCTCCTGCTTTTGGACGTTTTGGGGCCCTGCGTCGATGATTGTGCTCCCACGCTTTTGGGAATATCATCAGCATGCCCCAGCCATCTAGCGTCAAGTCGTCTGGCACGGCTTCAGAACCTACGATGGCGGATAACGATCGCGGCCCCGAATCCAAAGCAGAGGTGGAGGTCAGTGGGCGCGAGATCAACCCCGCTACCACCTCAAGTTACCATGACCACGACCCGGTCGAGGACTTGAGGCAGCGACTCTCGCAATGGGGTGAGTCAAGTGTCTACCATGGCTATGATGATGAAGATGAGCAAGGGTCCGAACATGAACTTCTCTTAGATCCCAACCTGCCCGAAGAGTACGAGACAAGGATCAGCAAGGTGGGCTCGACACCAACCGCAGAGGTCGACGATGAGCTCGCTATGAAGAGGGAGGAGGAGGAGGACTCACCCTACCCAGAAGTGCGTGCCGCCGTTCGCAACTACGACGAAGACGTCCCATGCAACACCATTCGAGCCTGGACTATCGGTCTTTTGTTAGTCGCCGTCGGCGCTTCGATGAATACCCTGTTCTCATTACGACAGCCTTCTATCGGTCTCGGCCCTCTGATCGCCCAAATCATCGCCTGGCCCATCGGCCAAGGCTGGGCCAAAGTGATGCCAACAAAGCAATACAACACCTTTGGCCTCAAGTGGAGTCTGAACCCGGGGCCTTTTAATATCAAGGAACACTCCATCATCGTCGTGATGGCCGGTGTCTCCTTTTCGGTCGCGTACGCCACTGATATCATCTTGGCCCAGCTGGTTTTCTACAAGCAAGACTTTGGTATCGTCTTCCAGCTACTTCTCACAATATCGACCCAGTCGCTGGGCTATGGCATCGCCGGCATCATGAGAAAGTTTCTAGGTGCGTCTCCCATGAGTAAGCCAAGGCTTCTGGTCGCTGACTTCAGGCCCAGTCTACCCGGCGGCCATGATCTGGCCCGGTAATCTAGTGTCCGTCACCTTGATGAACGCCATGTACGAAGCGAACGACCGACCTGATCCCAGCTTCATCGGAGGTAGCATGCCTCGGTACAAGTGGTTCGGCATCATTACGCTCGCCTCATTCTGCTATTACTGGATCCCCGGCTTCCTTGCTCAGTTCCTGAGCATTATGGCGTTTGCCACTTGGATTGCGCCCAACAACGTCGTCGTCAACCAGCTGTTCGGTGGCACTAGCGGTCTTTCAATTCTGCCGTTGACGCTCGATTGGACTCAAATTTCGGGTTTCGTTGGTTCTCCGCTTATCCCCCCTTGGTGAGTCTCTCCAATACGTTTTGTGTGAAATGTATGGGATCCAGGCTGACCCCGAGTAGGCACGCAATTGCCAACACCCTCATTGGTGTTGTTACCTTCTTCATCATCGGCGCCTCAATCTTCCACTATACCGATGTTTGGTATGCCCAATTCCTGCCCATGAGTGACTCTGGCACGTACGACAACACCGGCCAGCCGTATAACACCAGTCGCATTTTGACGCACCAGCTCACGCTCGACGTGGAGGCCTACAAGAACTACTCGCCTCTCTTCATTAGCACAACTTTTGCAATTGCGTACGGGCTCTCTTTCGCTGCCATCGCCTCCCTAATCGTCTACACGTACCTGCACAATGGCAAGCAGATTTGGGCGCAGTACAAGAACAGCAGCAAGGAGAAGCCCGATATCCATATGAAGCTCATGAAAAAGTACAAGGAGGCACCAACTTGGTGGTACATGGGCTTGTTCGTGATTGTGAGTTTGCACCGCATCGTTTTGGTATAACCCCACTGACAAGAAGGGCCTAGATGCTCGGTCTCGGTTTCGTGACCGTCCTGGCATACCCGACCAACCTCACCTGGTGGGCTTTCCTCTTGGCCGTGGCCATCTCGTTTGGCTTCTCGCTGCCCATCGGCATCATCCAAGCCGTCACCAACAACCAGATCGGCTTGAACGTGTTGACTGAGTTCGTCTATGGATACATCCAACCCGGCCGGCCGCTCGCGCTCATGATGTGAGTCTTCTGCGGGGACGTTTCCCTCATCGTGCTCTGACAATTCCAACAGCTTCAAGACCTTCGGCTACATCACCATGTCGCAATCTCTGAGCTTCGTCTCTGATCTGAAGTTTGGCCACTACATGAAGATTCCCCCGAGAACCATGTTCATGTGCCAAGTCGTTGCCACGACCGTCTCGTGCTTCATCCAGATCGCGGTTCTCAACGCCGCGCTGAAGAATATTCCCGACGTCTGCCAGCCGCACCAGGTGAACAAGTTCTCCTGCCCAGGCGGCCGTGTCTTCTTTGCCGGTACGTCTGCTTTATTTTCAGCGCTCAACGTCCATTTTGCTGACCAGCTCGCAGCCTCCGTCATATGGGGTCTCATTGGACCCGCCCGCATGTTCTCTCCGGGCCAGGTGTACTCAGGCCTCTTTATCTTCTTCGGCCTCGGCGCTATCCTCCCGGTCATCTTCTACTTTGCCGCCCTCAAGTGGCCCAAGTCGCCCGTCAAGTACCTCATGGCGCCCCTCATTTTTGGCGGAGCCGGCGCGATCCCGCCCGCGACACCCCTCAACTACCTCAGCTGGGGCGTCGTCGGCTACATCTTCCAGCATCATATCCGCAAGAAGCACTTTGGCTGGTGGTCGCGCCTCAACTACCTTACATCGTCGGGCCTTGATCTCGGCCTGGCCCTTGCCACGCTCGTCATCTTCCTCGCCTTCACGCTCAACGGTATCGACCCGCCCAAGTGGTGGGGTAACGATATCGTCACCGCGACCATGGATGCTCAGGGCACGGCGATCCAGTCGATACCGGCACCCGGCATGAAATTTGGTCCGAAGACCTGGTAAGTACTCCTACGACAAACCGCACGAATGGCGTCACGGTTACACGGACTTTGTATCACTAAAGGGACTGGCAAAGGGAACATTAGGAATTAGGAAGGTTTCCTAGCGCATGCTTCTTATTATCTGCTTTTATCGCACTTGATTCCATATTCCATACATTGGATAGATCCAGGTAAGAGCGAGTGGGAGAGATGAAGGGAAGATATTAGCCACGTATATATAGGCAGAAAAGAAGAAGAAAAGAAGACGGCGGCGGCGGCGGCGGCGGCGACGGCTGGATTGCCACTACGATATCCGGGCCGGGTATTTACTCTGTATATTCCCTATTTCCATCGCGGACTAGGTGTAATTTCTACGTACGATTGGAACAGTTCCGTGTTCACTTTTCATCTCAAACGGCTATTTCAGATGACGTTTTTGTTGCCATTGATTTGATTTGGCAACTGTCTAAAATTTAGATGGATAAAGGATTGGGGAATCCGAACCTCGACGATGCAAAACACCAGACCGCCCACTACATGAGACACGAAGAAAAAATGTCGAGTTGCGGCCTGGTACGCTACTACGTACTCCGTACATACCACTGGGAAAGTCTGCCTATTGCGAACACAAAGGCTATTTGGCGAGGAGCGCAACGTGATCAGCCCAGGTAAGCTTTGGCAGCCGAGCACCGACGTTTCGCTCGACATCGGCTCTGGCCGCAGTCAACCAAGCAAGCCATGTTCTCGAGTAT